AAGAAGCTATAGTTGATAAAATGGTGATCAAAAATCTAAAAAAAAAATCGGAACATCTTTCACATCTTTATAGTTTCTATACCAAGAGATCTACTTTGAATGGTCATCCTCGGATGAGTAATTGAGAAAGATTGCTCTAAAATTAAGACTTCTACTTCTGCCGCTCCGTCCAGGGTCCAAAGCAAACCAAAACTAAGGACAGTCAAAGTGGATGATGTTGGGATAATGTTCTTCTGATTATGCAAACGCACTTCAATGTCAAGGTAATCTCTCTCTCTCTCTCTCTGGTTTTCTGGTTCCTGTTTGTTGCTGTCTTGCCGACTCTTTTTATTGATGTACATTGTCGTGTTTACTTTGTAACAAATTCAATTTCATCAATAAATTTCACTTTTCCTGATCAAAAAAATAAAAAAATAAAAGAAATTCTGAAGAACACAATGTACGGTGTTCGTCTAGAATATTTAGCCCAAATACATGGACCCTGTTTTGACATAGAAGTGAAATATAAAGGCTTGTTGAGTTGAGTTGACTTTTGAGAACCATCAAACAAACATTGCAGACCTTCAGTACCAGTGAACAATGACTTCACAGTTTATTGTTTGCTTAAAAATGGTTTCACAAATTTCTATTATATTCAGAAAGCAGAGACTGCTTTTGAAGAGCGATCTGAGAACCAATTAACTTTATCTCGATGGAAGCTCTGTTAATGCTCACCTTTTAGCTTGTGTGCACTTCAGTTTGTGTGTGCATGCTTGATGCTAGATGAAGTACCAATGGAACTCACCTTCATAATTATCATAGTTAATTTGTTTTTTTGTTGCAGCAAGTATTGCTAGCAGTGAAGAAGGCTGAGATTGTACGGGGATGTGCTTGTTGTCCTTAGTGTTTCTGAACAGGAGCCACATTTTGCACTACTTGGATGCTAATTTAAATAAAGTTCAGGTTTGCATTTTAGGCTTTGAATTAGTCATCTAAATTCGACATTGTGATATACTTGATTGTATTGTACATTTTCATAATACCTTGTGATCTATAAAAGAAAGTCTTTTCAACTCTAATGCTCCTATTCCAATTGGTTAAATTACTTAGCTGGATAGAGTTAGCAAAAACTACTTTATTCACTCATATTCCAAAAATAAAAAGTCGGAAAAGCTCATCTTTTAATTATTTGACAGAGTAATTGATTGAGAATTGGGGTTTTAATATTTATTTGTGTTCTTATCCAATTCAAGGTGGACTGTCTACATGCTTGTGCACACATACATTAGTAGTAATTTTCCACCTAACAAACGCCATAACAAAACAATTGGGATTTGGGAGCAAATTTAGCTGGCATAGACAATTTGACTAAAATAGAGCAGTAAAATTGCAGCCCAACTCCATTTACCAGTAACTATAAAAACACTGCTAACTGTGCTATTGAACTGTTGTAAGGTTCTTTAGTGGACGGCTCACTTATCTTCTAAATTCTTATCATTATATCTGTCATCATCATTATCATCATTATTTATACATGTAGACTCATTGCCTTTGTCTGTCTATGTGAAAATTCAGTGAGTCAAGCCTGTGTATAACATTTTTCTCAAGAAAATGAAAGAATATCAAAAGGAAAAGGAAAAGGAAAAGAGAAAAATGAGGAGCTAGTATATGTTTTTTGCCACCTTTCATCCCTGGATGCAAAGTATCAAACATTGTGCCAGCATACATCAAACCAAGAAAAGAATATTTTCATCTTCTTAACAATAGAATATTGGGGTTTCCATCTCCATTGTGAAGTCTGCAGCAGCTATTTGCCTTTCCCGTAATTGTTTACAGAAAGAGAGGTAAGCTTTGAATTCTAGCTTTGCCCTTTTCAATAATTTATGAAATTGAATATATAAATAATGCTAACTGTTGTCCATTGCTTATTTTATTCATAATGCAAAGGTACCTATGTCTGAGTTAAGTTGAATTGTGTAAAAAGCTAACTGTATGTCTACATGAGTTAAGTTACATTGCATTCTATTCATAATGCAGAAGCGTAAGGTGCATTGAAAATCTAAATATTTTGGCATTTTCTTTACCTTAATGACATGTGAGTTGCGATTAGCATGACCCACAATTCATGTATGTAAACATACAAAAACCAACTTAACTCAAGAATAGTATTTCTTTTTTAGTGACCTTTTAGTATGTAATTTTTTCCCCCCTGTATCTGAAGTATTAAATAGCTCTAAATTGTGCCCCAAATAACACCATATTGTCCATGCAAAAAATAAAAAATAAAAGGCAAGAAAGAAAGATGAAGAAAGAAATAAATCATCTTCAATATTCATCATGTAAGTTAGTTTCGGTGAAAAAAGTTGTTCTCATATTTTAGTGTTTGGTACAATGGAACATAGAAGTCAATGGATGACTTTTTTTAGCATTCAAGAAGATGACCTAATTTGGATGGAAAATGTTTTTCATTTTGTAAAAGTAGAAAACATTGCAGAAACATTTTCTGGATCTATCGAGACATACCAATCTAACTAATGACACTACCACCCTACCATATCCTTTAGCTACCATAGAATATCAAAGATTCTATGTCAAAAATTCAATCCAAAGATTTTAAGTGTAAAAAGTAGATCCAGACACAATTTTTCTTGTTTTTAATAATAGTAATATTCTAGCAAATTTCAGTGTTGCTTGTTCAATATTTTTCCTCAGACATGGCAGATATTTTGATTTACATTGTAGAAAAGTTAATGTTGTTAAACTATTTGTGAAGCCAGTTAAACATTAATTCAATTGTTTGATTTATCAAAAGAAAAAGGTTGGAAGTCTAAGAAGTGAAGTTGAAACATTAGAGGCTATGAGCGATAGGGTTCAGGGATTCATTTATCTAGCAATTAGGATTAGAGAAGAAATTCATGAAGATGTCAAGCACTAGATTGAAAAACTTACTGGGTTCATAGGAAGGGCTAAAGAGTCTTTGGAAGGTGGAAGTAATGTGAGCGAGAGTGTTTTAATAGGTGGTTTTCTTAGTTGGTCACACTTTTGTTTTTCCTTATTTATTTATTTTGGACAGATGATTTGGTCACATGTTTTTGGCTAGGAAAAGAAGCAAAAGAGAAAACGGATAAGGCTAAAATGCTATGGAAACAAAGCAACTTCAATAACAAATCCAGCTCTACACGTCCTTGGGGATATAATTCATACCCTTAGAAAGGCTCTTGACTTATGAGACCACAAATTTGGCAATGTGAAATGACAAAATCAATTTCTTTGGAATACATGGTATTGGAGGTTGTTCCAAAGA